TGCCAGTGAAGGCCAGTCTTTAGTGGTCAAGAGGAATTTTTTCCTTATCCTGGATCTTGGGCCTTTGCATTTTCTGTTGAATCTAAGGATTCAACCTTGGGGGTGATGGTCTTCCTTGTAAGAGTTCTTATGTATGTCTCTATTTTAAGGGAATTTTAGTGGCAGTTCCACATCATCTGTTGGGTTGGAAAGTAGGGTTAAATCTTAACTCTGTCTCCTAAGATCAAAGAACTGAGTGAGAGAAGAGATGCACTGGGATCCGTGTGACCTCACAGCCATGAGTCCTCTATAAGCCTCAGTTTCTATATTTTTAATTTGAGGAACAACACTACCTACTTTGAAGTATTATTGCAATCATTCATACAGGTAGTAGTTGGTAGGTGCCCTTCAACAGATGAATAGATAAAGAAAATGTGGTACATATATGCAATGGAATATTACTCAGCCATAAAGAAGAATGAAATTATGGCATTTGATGGTAAATGGATGTAATTGGAGACTATTTGCTAAGTGAAATAAGCCAATTGCAAAAAACAAAGGCCAAATGTTCTCTCTGATATGTGGATGCTAACCTACAGCAAGGGAGAGTGGAGAGTGAAAGAATAGAAGTTCATTGGATTAGACAAAGGGGAATGAAGGGAAGGGAGGTGGGATGAGAATAGGAAAGATAGACTTAAATTCCCTATGTTCATATATGAACACATGACCAGTGAAATTCCGCATCATGTACAATGACAAGAATGGGAAGTTATAATCCATGTAGGTATAATATGTCAAAATACACTTTACTGTCATGTATATCGAAAAAGAACAAATAAAAAAAATAAAAAATAGGTAGTGGTTGGTTAAGCACTTGCATCTGGTAGGTTTTCAATAAATATTGACTATTATTATTATTGTTGTTGTTATCCTTTTATTGTCAAATAAAATAGATGTAGAAAATGGCCCAAACAAATAAATAGCTTTGTGGATTATCATAACACACGCACATGCTTGTAAACACCACTAAGGTCAAGAAATTGAGCTTTGTCAACCACTCCAATTTTCTTTTTCATGTGTTTCAGTTCAAAGTCAGCCTGGTAAAGTGATACATTTAGCGTATTCCTTTAAGATTTTAGCTTGGGATATATTTAGTTGGAGGATGCCCCAACTGTTACACCTCAAGTATAGCTGTTAAGGAGGCAGTTGGGTATATAAGTATGGAATTCAGGGAGCCGCCAAGGTCAAGGAACAAGTTTGGGCACAGTCAACATATAGGTGGCATTTAAAGCCATGGAACTGGTGAGGTTACCTAGCATGACCAGCCAGGTGAAGCACAAATGAGGAGTCAAGTTATCACTTGGCTTTGTGCTATAATAATTAGGTAAATATTGATTTCTCCAAATGACCCCTGTCAACTATGAAGTACATAAGGACATTCAAAAAACTGTTTTCTAACTACCACAGAACATCAAAAACTTTGTTCTTTGAGAAAGTAAGAACAAGATATCCTATACTTGTCTGGTGAATCTAAATCACTTTGACACACATAGGCAGGCTCAGTTTCCAGGTCGGATAGAGGGCATCAGATAAAGGGTGTTATGAGAGTCTCTCTTAGATATTGTGTCACACATGAACTTTTGGGGGACACTTCATATCTAAACCATAACATGGTGACAAGGTGGGGATAGATGAGACAGAGGAAAACCCTTAGAGGATGAGTGAGTTACACCATGGACAATTAGAGTTCAATGCTCTGGGGATACTCTGAGAGATGGTGTAGAATATACTTCAGTATTGAACCACCAAGGGACAAAGGAGGGAATGTATCTGTCTACACAATCCTGGCCCTTGGTTGAAGGTCATTCTTGGGAGTTGTAACTCTCTAAGCATTTCTGGTGAGCTGGCATGCACTCGTAGATGAGGCAGAGTGATGCTTTGTATGTGTGTGGGGGTGAATTTTTTGGGGTGACCTTCAGGATGGGCAGAGGGGATACGGCATGGCACCATGGTGGGTGCTTTTGTGTGACCTTATTCACTTTCATGACTTTTAAATGGAGAATAGAGTACTGAACTGCACTGGTTTAGTGGGAAGATTGAGTACATTAAAGTTCATAAAGTGTGTTTTAGCTAACTTTTCAGTGCTGTGACCAAAGAACAAGAACAAATTTCAGGAAGAAAAGTTTATTTGGGCCTCATGGTTTCAGGGTCTCAGTTCATAGACAGCTGACTCCATTGCTGGGGCTCAAGGTAAGGCAGAATATCATGGGATAAAGGCCCAGAGGAAGAAAGAAGCTGCTCAGCTCATGGGTTGGTCAGGAGGAGGGGAGGAGAGAGAGAAAGAGAGAGAGAGAGAGAGAGAGAGAGTCAGTCCATCCTCAGGGTCTTCAAAGGCATTCTCCCAGTGACCCACCTCCTCCAGCCATGCCCCATCTGCCAACAGTGATCACTCAGTCCATTCAAACTAGGATGGACTGATTAAGATACAGCTCTCATAATTCAATCATTTTACCTCTGAATATTCCTGCAGAAACACAGGGGAAGGCTCATAGCAAAACCATAAAAAGTGCTTATTACAGTCCCTGGAACATAGTTAATGTCCATGAATGATAGCCTTAGCAGCAATAAATTAACGTGGGAAGACAATGACTCTTCCTCTGTACCTGACTTAAAACTTTCTTTTATCACTATAATTTGTGTTAAAGGAGACAACTGACTAGAGTCAGAATATGCAATCATGGCTTTGGGATAAAGATTTTTCTTTGAAGCATCCCACTTCTGTGGGAACAGAACCTATTTTATGTGAGATTATAGAGCCAACTAGCCTAGCAAAATACAATTATTTTCTCACTAGTAAAGCTTTTGCCAATAGCTTGTGTGTTTTGTTGCCCTGTAGGGAAGTAAAATTTCCACAGGACAGAATTTGTACCCATGAAGAACATTTACCAGGTCATGCTGAATCTCAGAGTATATCCACGTTGACATAGGTGCCAAACTGATTGTGTTTTATTTTTAATTTATTTTTTACCATTGATCTGATCATAGATATAATCATGCCCTTAGTATATCTCTGTATGTGCTTTCCTAGAGGAAAATGGAAGGGGAGTGGAAGGAAACAGAATCTGCTCATGTTGGAGGAGGGAACATAAAAAATAATAAGGGAATTTGGTAAACAGCTCTGTCATGAATGAGGAATCGAGTTTATTCTTTATTTGAGGTGGGTGGAGCTGAGTGTGGCCAATGTTGTTTATAATTTGAGAGGTTCCAAGAGATAAGGCATGAGAGGGATGGGTTGTGTGCTGTCCTCACCCTTCCTGGAGGATGGAATTAAAATCAGGTAGGTGGAAGTCGAGTCTCCTAGTCAAGACCCAGAGGACAAGAGAGGGTTGTGTGTGCCCTGTGGAGGCACAGGGGGTGGCTCCTTCCCCCTCTGTGTTATTGGGATCTGATTTTGTTCAGCTATCAGATGGTTGTTCCTCAATCTTGGAAAATGTGGTCTAGTACCAGGAGATGAATAATATCTAGTCCCTCCCAATAGCCATAATCCTTCTGTATTTCCTAAGATTGATTTGGAGTGGCCAAGTGGTCCAGAAGTCTGATGGGGATCTTAAGAAATCTTTTCCTTTGGTAAAAAGAGATGGAGGAGACAAGGCCTGCCTGATTTTTCCTCCTGATTTTGGATTGGGATTTTGTGAAGACATGATGTTTGGCACTGTGGAAACTATTATGTGACACTAAGGGGACATCTTCATAGGATGAGAGTAAGGAAGTAGAAAGATGGAAAAATCCTGTGTCCTTTTGCACTGAGATGCTGAATCAAACTTGGGAATCATTGCTTTTGCCTTCTTTTACTATGAAATTCCTAGTATTTAAACCTCTTTTGATAGGCTATTTTGTTACTGAAGCCCAAAGCATCTTCATTGAGAGAACTTAGGATAAAGAATAAAGTTTGGAAGAATATCAAGACCCTGATGTTAGGAGCAGGGATCCATAAAAGAGAGCAAGGCAGAACTGGACCTCCTGGAGAGGACTTTGAATACCTCTGACTGTGGGAAGGGATGGACTCTTATCCATCAGGAGGACTGGCAATATTCCCAACTGCCTGAGGGTGGATGAAAGCAGGAGTAGAACTTTGTTGAGGTGCTGTGGACTGTTGCAGCCATGGCAAGCCCTAAAGTTCCATCTATGGGAGACAGAGGAGTCAGGGCCAACAGGATATTTCAGCCCTGGTAGCTAATGGTGGTGTAGGAAACAGAGGCATTGGAGCCAAACAGGAGTGTTTGAACCCTGACACTCATTTGATCTAAGCTTCAGTTTCCTTAGTTATAAAAAGAGGAAATTCATATCTGCCCCACTGAATTACTATATGGGTTAAGATACACTTAGTCCTATAAATTCCCTAGGATATAGTGGTATTTCAAATGATAGCTATTGCTAAGTAATAGAGACCTACAGAGATAACAAACATACTTTATGACCTTTAGAGACATGGTCTATTGCTGTTTTGTGAGATGGGGCCAATTTAAGACTTGTTAGGGTCATCAGGTGTCAAACTACCCTAACTGGTTTTCTAAGAGAAGACCCTGGGGATGGAGTTTCTGGAAATGATTTCTTTTCTTCCTATAGAAGTATATTCAAAACAATAGACATGTGTTTTGGGTGGGAGACATTAATGACGTTTTTCCTTGAGCAGGGAGGAAGGTGAAGACCCAAGATGTGTAGGGCCAGCAGCATCAGGAATGTTAGAGATAGGTGGGATTTCTCAAAGCACACTGAATACAAATGTAAATAACCAGAGCTTCCTGCTCACGGATGTGAGGTGGGAGATGAACCAAAATAACCACTTCTGAAGAGTGGGAGACTCTGAGAAGCCACCCCTTCTCCCCTAGAGTTCCCTCCTACACGCCCACTCTAAGTAATTTCTAAGTCTGTGATAATTCACAGAAAGAAGAAGAATAGGGAGTTGCTGGCGTTTGTAGTAACAGGATGAGAAAGTGCGAGACTTCCTGTTATGTGCGTGTGACAGCTGGTGATAAGTGGAGGGCCCTGCACAGGAAATCCGCTCAGCTTCTGCAATGTGACCTGCCTGAAACTTGGGCGCTCCTTCAGTCAGGATGTCCATGGCGGGACAAAGGGGATCCTGGACCATGGGCGATGTGGTAGAGAAGAGTTTGGAAGGGCCCCTGGCACCCTCTACAGAAGAGCCCTCCCAGAAAAGTGGAGAATTGGTAGAAATCTTAAATGGGGAGAAGGTGAAATTTGACGACTCAGGACTGTCCTTAATTCTTCAGAGCGGCCTGGAGACCCTCCGAGTGGAAAACGCTCTGACAGATGTCATCTTGTGTGTGGACATTCAGGAATTCTCCTGCCACCGCGTGGTGCTTGCTGCGGCCAGCAACTACTTCAGGTCAGCGCGCCTGGAACCAGAGCCAATCTGGGTGCAGGTTGCAAAGAAAATCAGTGTTGATGTGAAAGCCCAAGCTAGCTAGTTTGCTTTCACATTTATGGTTTATATACATCTATTGAGGTTTGTGTGTATACGTAAAAGTACAAGAAAGGGAGGTATTGAACTTTAGATTTTAGGATGTAGGCCACATTTTGAGAGAGACTGGCATCATTTAAAAGCAATGTTTATAAATAACGGTGAACTTTCTGTGTATATGTATGTCCTTGTTCCAGAGGATGGGATATGACTTAAGTCATGGGGATTTTTTACCCTGTCTTTGTTCTGACTAACATGTTGGAAAAATAATGATGTCTTTATTCATCAACAGAAATAGAGAAAAGGATGTGGCCCCTCTTTTGAAGTTAGCGAGTTAAGGGCCTTTGGGTGTGTGCGGGAGGTGGTGGGAAATTTAGATGCAAAAGGCTCTGGTTCCAACAGATCTGTGGCCTCCACAGTGGGAGGACCTGGCGTCAGGAGACCTGGGTTCCATCCCATTTGGTCTCCTTTTGACCATACGACTGGACGGAGGGGAGTCTCTTAATGTTCTGAATTTTACCTGTCAGATGAGGACAGTGATGATTACCTCTCAGGATTCTTGCAATAATTAAACACGAGGGTGAAAAGGGTCTGACAGAGTGCCTGGCATGTGGTGGACTCTCATATATCTTCATTGAAATTCTTCACCCCATTCTGCTTTGTTCCACTAAGAATTACTTTTTGAGGGTTTACCATGAGCAAATCCCTGCAGTAGGAAAGTGGGAGAATCAAGAACCCAGTGATCACATCTGGATCCAGCATTGTCCACGTGAACAGGGACTCAGGCAGGGAACCAGTCCATGAAGACAGTGTGAATGCAGAAGGTATTTTGGGAATGTGAAAAAGAAATACCTTTATCATTTTTCTTATCAAGATTCTTTTTAACTCTCCGTTCTGGCTGAGGAAATCAAGTATCCTGGAAGGCATTTTATGTTTTTATTTTTTTGAGGTACTTAGGGGAAAAAAATGTCTCTCTGGAATTCAAAGAGCAGGGTTGGCTGGTTATTGTGGGATGGAGTAGCTCCCCTATGTTGATAAGGTAAGGAGATAATCTTGAGTTTGTGGAAATTCGTGCCTATTATACACCCGGTAGATATAGTTATCTGATTTTATTTTTGTAGTGGTATGATAGAGATAACTGATGTCCCCTTTTACAGATGAGGAAATAGAAACCCAACATTTTATATCTGGTCATTATTGCAGCAGGGAATCTGTACATTTTAGAGGTCCTGGTTTTTAATGCAATGCAAGTTTTGGGCTTCTTTTCACAGCCTAGAAAGTAGAGTGCAGTCATAGCCATAAAAATGCGTGGACATAGATAGTCCAATAGTATCAATCACTTGCTTTCACAATTGATCACAGACCTTCTGGGGGTGAATGAAAGCTAATTTTGCTCAATGCCCTGGGTACTTGTTTTAGAGTCATTCTTTCTGTTTTGAGTCACTGGGAAAATGCTAAAATAAAATGTATACCTGGTTAGTAATTTTGTTAATGGCTCAGCCTATGGGACAGGACCACTGGCTGTGTGTCCTCGGCACATCACTGCTCTCTTCTAGTCCTTGGGTTTTATTCTGCTAAACAGAAGGTGTCTGGGCTCAGATCCTTCCAGCCCTGTTGATCGAGGACACTTAGGGCAAGTCTCTGCCAGTCCTCAGAGGAGGTGGTGGCAATGAGAAGTTGGAGGCACACAGGGATGAACTTGTCTCTCCATGTATGCAGAGTTTTTTCCCAAACTGTCTGGTCATGAGGGGAAAGGCCTTCTAATCTTCAGAGCAGTGACTTTAGATCTGTATCTAGGGATTTCCAATGTGGCTTTTCTTCTGTAATGAACAGATATGGAGACAGGATTCTTTTTTCAGTACTACTATTAGTAATGGCTTCTTTTTGTTGAACCTTTTGTGTGGGCCAGCCCTGTGCCACCAGTGTCACATACACTAACCCATTTAATGGGAACAACAATGCAGCAAGGTAGGGATTTCATCCCCATCTTACAGAGGAGGAGCTTAATAAGAAAGTAGCCAAGTTAAGCTTTGGAACGAAGACTGAGATTGAGTCTGACACTGCCTCCCTGCCTCTCCTGCTGTTTCTAAGGTTTTGAAAATCATCTGTAGCTGGGTTCTTCTTATATTCAGACTTAAGAAGGCCAAAGAGGCTCCCCACACAGCCTTCTGGGCTTTGGGAGGGTTTGGAAGCTGGCTGTAAAATTATATAGGCTTTTCCCCCTTTATTTCATTGAGAAAATAAACACTTTGCTCTAAATGGCTGACTATAGTTTACTTAACCAGTCCTGCACCGACAGATATTTGGTTTGGAATCTCTTGCTGCTGTGGACAATGTTGTAACGAATACTCTTATGCATGTGCCATTTCATATGCGTGCAAGTGTATCTGGGGATGCACTTCTGGAAAATGGTTGCTAAGTTAATGCATCTGCAGTCGTAAGAGATTTGGTCAACTTCTGTCGGAGACAGGTTGAATCACTTTATATTCTCCATGATTTTATCAAAATAGAGTAGTATCAAACTATTGAGCTTTTGTATTATACACCAACAACTTAGAGCTGAATATATTTACAGGATATAAGAGATGCTATGGTTTTTTAATACAATGAGGAATGACCAAATCAAGCCAATCAACCCATCATCACCTCAACATTTAACATCTTTTGCAATGAGAACATTGAACTGAGGTTTTGTACCTTTTGGTTATCATCATCCCAAGTTCTTCAGCCCCAGCTCTGCCACCCATCATTCTATTTTCTGCTTCTATTAGTTCAATCGTCTTAGGTTCCACATTTAAATGAGATCACATGGTATTTGTCTTTCTGTTAAACCGTTGAATTTTTGCCAGTTGATAGATGAAAAAGAATATCTCAATTTAGTTTTATTTTTGCATATCTCTTATTTTAATAAGGTCATGTGTTTCAGGGTGATCTGAAGTTCTTCTTTTGTGAACTGTCTCTTTATATTGTCTTTCAAATTATCATGTTTACTTTTAAAAATTAAAATTCATTTTTTTATCAAAGACATGCAAATAGTTAACAAAAAGTCAAATAGAATTATGAAAAACAAAAATTCCTCCTCACTCCCTCTGTCCTTCAGTTTTGCTCACCAGAGGCCACTATTTTCAACTTCTTTTTTTCTATTTTATCTCTATATTTCTTTCTTCTCTCTCTCTCTTCCTCCCCCCCCCGTGTCAGGGATTGAACCCAGGGGCGCTTAACAACTGAACCACATCCCCAGCCCTTTTTAAATTTTTTACTTTGAGACAGGGTCTTCTAAATTGATTAGGGCCTTGCTAGGTTGCTGAGACTTGCTTTGAACTTGCAATTCTGCCTCAGCCTCTCATGTGTCAACAGGCCACTGGGCTCAGCTTATCTCTATATTTCTATAAATACTTATGCTATTTCTTGATTTCTCAATATTAGATATAATATGTTTATTTCAGATAAGAACTTAGCATTTATACCTAACTCCCTTACCATACACTCCCCAATGTCTCTCTTTTTTTAAACTTTGTTTATTTTTTCAATAACTTAGTACCTCACACGTGCTAGGCAAGTGCTCTACCACTGAGCCACAACCTCAGTCTTCTCTGTTGTCTCTTAACATAATGTTATTGTAAACTTTTTGCTGAATCTCTGTTGAGTTTACATGATCATGTTCGTAAATATAGTATTTCCTGTGGAGCCAAATAATACAATATATTTCCTTCCTTGTAAAGTTTTTTTTTATAATTTATTTTTTAGTTGTAGGTGGACACAATACCTTTATTTTATTTTCATGTGCCGGTGAGGATCCAACCCAGTGCCCCATGCATGCTGGGCAAGCGCTCTTCCTCTGAGCCCCAGCCCCAGCCCCTTGTAAACATTTTTGTTTTGTTTGAAGTTACTAGTCCACTCCTGGGCTAGGGATGCAGCTCAATGGTAGGGTACTTGCCCAGCATTTGCAAGACCCTGGATTTGATACCCAGCACCACAAAAAAGAAAAAAAAATCCATTTCTTTTTCCATTTGCTTAGTTTTTTTTTTTCATTTTCATTTGCTTAGTTTTTGAAGTGTCTTTTTCTCACAGTTTCTCATCATGCTCTTTAAGAACCTACCAGTTCCATCCCCACCCCACCCCAAGTTCTCATATCCAACACATGTTTTCTGGACTTGCAGCCCAGCTATTGCCCAGCTGCTTCCCACCATCCCCCAAACTCTCTCTGACTCTCTGCTTCGTCACATAGAGCCTCTCTCTCTTCATCCCCCTCTCTTCTCTCCTTCTTACTCTGATGAAACATATCCTCCAATAACTTCCTAAGAAAGGGTGTATGGAAGGTAAATTTTCCAGGCTTTGTATGTTGAAAATATCTCTATTCACTCGATACAGAGATTGATAATGGTTCCCCAAAGACATCTATGTCTAATCCTGGAACTGTGAATATGCTACTTTAAACGGCAAAAGGCACTTTGCAGATGTGATTAAGTATCTCGAGATGAGAAGATCATCCTCGATTGTCTGGCTGGGCTCAATGTAATCACCAATCCTTACTAGAGGGAGGCAGGAGGATCAGAGTTGGAGTGAGGAGCCATGGCAGTGGAAGCAAAGGTTGGAGTGATTGGCTTTGAAGATGCAAGAAGGGCTCAAGGAATGTTGATAATTTCTAGAAGAAGAAATGAGCAAGAAAGCAGATTCTCTCCTTTAGCCTCCACAGGCAACATGGTTCTGCTGATTCCTGGGTTTGGGCTCAGTGAAACCCATTTTGCATTTCTGATTGCTGTATTGCAAAACCATAATTTTTGTTTTTTCAAAAGCAACAGAATTGGGACTGGGAATGTAACTCAGTGGTAGAGCACTCACCTAGGATCCTAGCATACGTGAGGCCCTGGGTTCAATCCCCAGGACTTGGGGGAAAAAAAAAGCCACCATGCTTGCAGTTTTTC